GCTCTATTATTAGGTTTCTGCCTTTCTTGAAATTTTCTATTCTTTGGCATGAATGAAAGAAAAAATACAAACTAGAATTTGTGTCTAGGCCTAATTGAGCTTTATTTTTCCCTTATACTTTAAGCCTAATATTTGCTGTTACAACTTAAGACAAAATTTGCTATGTTGTTTATCTATGTGATGCAGGGGATACAAACGTTTCTTTAGACGAGCTTTACTTGAGAATTCAGATTATCTCAAGGATGACTGTTTGAAAATCAATTGCACTGTGGGAGTTGTTCGATCTACAATTGATATCTCGAGCTTACAGCCAATCCAGGTTCCAGATTCTGATATGGGATCACACTTTGGAATGCTATTAGAGAATATGGAAGGCTCTGATGTTGTTTTCATTGTGGCTGGTGAAAAATTTCATGCCCATAAGCTGGTATTAACTGCTCGTTCTCCTGTATTTCGCACTGAATTGTTTGATGAACTGATGGGCGATAAGCAGGAGATTGTTGTCACAGATATGGAACCCAGGGTCTTTAAAGTGAGCATCAATTTCATTTTTCTTTTTTTACTTTGTTAATCATTTTATTTTAAATTGGGTTTTCTTGTGCTGTCGAAGAAGACAAAATTTCTCATTGCCTCAAATAGTGGCATTGCTCCATCTCTCTTGCTGTATTTGCTTCTCCAAAATAACTTCCGTGTTTTGGCAGAAAAAGATCAAATTTCTTCAGAACAAAAGATGAAATTCTCACTCACCCTTCTTTTTGATATATATATTCTTGTGGCATGAAACAGGCTATGTTGCACTTCATATACAGAGATTCTCTTGTAGATGAAGAGATAGAAGATACTAGTTCTTCTTCTATTCCTTCTGTGACCGATACATTGACAGCGAAACTGCTAGCAGCAGCTGATCGGTATGATTTAACAAGACTAAGGCGGGTGTGCGAAGCTCATCTTTGCAAAGATATCTCGGTGAACTCTGTTTCCAGAACTCTTGCTTTAGCTGACCGTTACCATGCCACAGAACTCAAAGCAGTTTGCCTTAGGTTTGCTGCTGAAAATCTTGCAGGTATAAGAGATCTTATTATTGCAACTTGTCTATATTTTATAGTGATTTCTGCAGTTTTCCTGAACTGTTTAGGTGAAACTAGTGCAATTTCCTTGTCTTGGATTGCAATAAATGAAAATTGGTGGTTTGTTTAGCATGAACATTGTGCATTTTGCCTTGTCATTGGTGTTCCCCCCCAAGTTTTTTGTTTCTTGGGCGGGTTATTTGTCATTTTTTTTGTTCACTTGAGCAGAAAGCTGTGAGGTAGTGGACCCTTAGCATGTCAACAGTATCTATCGGATCCATCTTTGTCTGTATAGTTAACCATTCCCATGTCTGTCTCTTTGCTGAGTTTCTTGCCTTCTCTCTTTTCCAAAACCTATTCAGTAGGGCATTATGCTTCTTTCCTGAGGCTGACCATATATTTTATGTCTGATAGGACATAAAAGGAAATAAGTCTTTCTTCTTTTATTGAGAATGCTCTTCTTTTTCTTTTCTCTTCTCATGGAAAATACTGAAAATTGAGAAGTGCAGCTGCCAGGTGGAATAAGAGCATTTTGCTTAGAACTTTTCTAAATTGAAGCTGCTTTAGAGTATCGTAAACAACAACGACAGACACAGAAGCTCTGCCTGATTCCTAGCTAAGGGTTTGCTATATGAATCCTCAGTGTCTATCTCGCTCCATTTGGACCCATTTCATTCCTATATTCAATAATTTGGGATTCTCTCGCACTGGAGGTTCTCTAGAGATAACTGGAAAAAAGAGGGGCTTTAGAGATATTTTATTGAAGAGTTAGACTTGGGTATGAAGGGCTTCTATGATGCATTTCTTTTGTCTTTACCTTGTTGTTTTTTCACGGCCTCCCTTCTTCTTACAAACATGGAAGCTGCATGTCATCCCAGATATACATGTGATCAGTACCTCTTTAGACAATGTAACAAGCCCATAGCAAAAAAGTATCTAGCAATTACGCTGATGAAGTGGATTGCTATCCTCTCCTGGTGAAGGGATGGGAAATGGTTATAACTTGTGCTCATGAATTTGGCATGGACATCTATGCCACGGATGTTATACATGCTGACTTCAATTTCGTTGAACACAATTTCGCCCGATGGTGTTATCAACTGAACTTCTATGGATCCATTAATCTCCTTTTGTTGCACCAGCAAGACTACACCCAACCATGCACCTCAAGTCTTAAGCCAATCTCTACACAGCACCAAAAGAAGTCTGATTTAACTGTCAAACTCCAGCTTCCGTTGTTCTGTTGTTAGGTTGCTTTTCTCTAGAGCTGCATTAGGGTGCATCATGGAATGATTTATGATTGGATTCCACTCAAGTGAAATAAATTCTCAATTGGGAAATCAAATGAGTTTTCTGCATATGAACATCAAAATAGCAATGAGATTTTTCACTGAACTGAAAGAAGAAATGTTCTTGGCCTCACCACTGTCTTAAAGCAGAAAGCATCAAAACAGCCGGTAATTCCTGCATCAGAAGCTTTGGTGTTCACCAAGTTAGGATATGTCAAATTTGAATCAAGATACCTAAAAAAGTTATAGATCAATGTAATTATTTTCTGGTTTTGTTATTTGAGTGCTTTTGGGAGGGGGCACTTATTGCTAAAATGGACTTGAAGTATTAGAACCTGTTTGGATTGCCTTTTGATTTTTGACTTATAAGCCAAAAACCATAAGTTAGAAATTGTAACTTATAGCTTTTGTCTTATTTTTATCATAAAGATTATTTTTATCATTTTAGCTTAAAACCAAGTGTGCTTATAAGCATTTTTTAATGTACCCAAACACTCCAAAAGTGCTTAAATTACTTGAAATAAGCCAATCCAAACAGGCTATTATTTGGTGAATGAACTAAAATTGATGAAATGAATCACATAGTTTATTTTAATTGCAAACCTGTTTTTCCATCAAGTGGGCTCTAAAAGAAGTCTCACTGAGCAAGTCATGACACTAAGTGAGATACTGTTATAGAACTGATCCAAAGAAAAAAAACTGACTTAGTGCTATAGAATGTCGCAAAAGAACGTGCATATCCCTTTGGATGTCCAAGTGTCTCGAGCATTTGTTTGATGAGTTGCTGCCCCCTTGGGGAGTTTAGCTTCGATTATAACTAGTGTCAAAGTTCATTTGGGGACCTTTCTATGTTAAAGGCTATGGTATATGGAAAACTGCAGCCTGCAGGTGTGTTTTTCGCGTGCTTTCTTTGCACTGCAGTTTCCCTCATCTATTTGTTGGCATATTTCTGCAGCTGTCATGCAATCTGATGGATTTGAATACCTTAAGGAAAACTGCCCTTCTCTTCAGTCAGAGCTTCTTAAAACCGTTGCTGGTTGTGAGGATGATTGTAGCAGTGGAGGCGGAAAGTCTAGAAGCGTTTGGGCCCAGCTTTCAGATGGTGGCGATACCAATGGCAGGAGGGTTAGGCACCGGACCTGATTTTAGATAGAGAACCCTGATTTTATTGTTCTGTATATTGGAAGATGTGTTGAAAATGATACAGGAAGGTAAATGTACCATAGTTTCTGAAATACCGAACAAGTCTGTTTGTAATACCAGTATCCTGGAAGTTGTTCCATGCTGAGTTTTTAAACATTTTTGCTGACACCAAGTTTGAGTTTCAGTAGACTATTTAGGGTTAAGACGTGATTCTGGAAAGTCGATACCTTTGTTGTTGCCATTATAGCCTTTGTAACTTCAACCCCTGATTGGAGGATACTCTTGTTTCTACTTCACAAGTGATGCTTAGTAGAAAAACGTTGCTGCCTCTTCTCTGGTTTAGTACCAAAGTTCTGAATTGCTGTTGCCTATTTCCTAAGCTGGCAAGTAGTCGTTGCTCCGGAACTCTGTAAGACCAACTCTTAGCTTCAAAATTTTTACTGGTTGTGTTCTTTACCTTCAGTGAAAGTCAGATCAGACCTGTCATTTAAGCTGTTGTAGTAAGACTAGGGAGAAATGAGTTGATTCTTCTGTTGATATATGGGTTGTTTGGTTGATTCTTTTTTCTCATATCTGTTTGAATAGTGGAAATGGTGATTTTGCCTTATTCTGTTTTTCGTTATTCTGGTATTCAACCCAATTTATCCAAATGTGTAATTTTGGTCCTTGAACCTATTTTGTGAAAGTTCAAAACTTAAAAGTCATTATTAAGAAAATTAAAGACTATGAACTTTTACGAATGTTAAATTTCCTGCCAATGCAATGAATTCTGTATAGAAAATTAAAGACACATTTTCGAAGTGTAGTTAAGCAGTTGTGCCATTATATTGAGGGGGAGCGCTAGAAATGGTAATGGTAAGAGTCACTTGGATATATAGCTATATAGCTATGTATAACTATGTAGAAGGTAGGGCGGATAAGTTTTGCGTACATTATATCCTTTTCAAATCACGGGTATTGTGTTTTTATTTATAGTAAATCAAATAATCTAAGTTTAGAAGAGTTCAAGTGAATATTACATCATCAGGGTGTGAAAGATTTTTGTTTCAAGAATGTGATTGAGCTCTTTTTTGGTATCCCGACAAAAAGCAGGAACTTAGTGCACCAGACTACGTTTTATTTAAAATTAATTGTTTGAGCTAACTGGTGCATCTATGCACTGGAAGTCATTCATCCTGTGAGATCGACTGCTTGTTTTTTTTTTATAGAATATCGAAAAATAAAAAGCTAGCATATCCCATAGTTGATTTACAACAGCAAACAACCACCCCATCAATAACAAGCAAGTTGAGGTAGGCTACATGAATGCTCACTGTCCATGTTGCCTTAATTAAGCATGTCTCAGTCTAATATTTAGAAAACTGCAGTCCAACTTGAAGCCACATAAAAAAATATTTCATTGTTTTTGTCTCTAGATTGCCTTAAACTGATGCACACAGGAAAACCCAGAAATGGATAGCTGAGATAACCAACTTTTGTGTTAAAAGACGTTATCAAAACTATCATAATCTCATTCGGGCTGTAGCCTACACGGCTGACATGGCATCCCAAGAACAAGAATTGTGTCCACTAGCTTGACCTGATGATGTGGCTACTGCATGGATTTGCTTGCAATCCCAGGCACAATCATCGAAAAAGCAAGAAATAAGAGCATCTTTCGAAGCCAGATGGTTATTAGCATGCTGTGTCTTGGGACTGGAAAAGATTGTCTGGTTTGATGTGTCGTCTTCCTTGTCCAAGGGGGCTAGATCGCCAATCTCTTGCTTAATCTTGCATCCTTCTAACATATCATGGAAGAATCCAATTATAGAAACACAATAAACTTCAACTATGCAGATAACCAGGAGTAGTCAGTAAATAAACCGTCCTCACCTGGCATTGTGGTCATTGACAGGAACTCGTGTAATGAACTTTCACTGATAGGGGTGTACTCACTAAATACTGATGTAGAGAATTGACTTAAAGGAGAGATTGGATGCCCATCCCATCCTTTGAGATCTGGACATGAATTATTGACAGTAACACCAGATGTCTCGTTCCCTTGGTGTGAGTTATCGTGTGAAGCTTTCATAGTTTGGGATTCATGAAGCACAGCATCCAGTAGACCACTGTTGCTAGGTGACAGACTACCGGATTCACTATGTCCAGCTGGAGGGGATTGAATCAGAATATCAACAGAGTCTAATGAAGGAAGAGCCGAATGAGGTGAGCCCCAGTTTTCTGTCTGGTTTTGGAGTGAAGGGAGCTCCAGCTTCATTGCCCATGTGGGCTCTGAAGAGGAGTTGCCATTTAAATAGGCATGGCCGCCCGGAACTACACTTGAGAATGATCGGTTATCATCATATGTTAAATTATGACTATATGAAGAAAAACCCAAGGGTTGAGCAAGCAAAGAACTGTCATTCTGGTATTGTATGGAGTTGAGGAGATCACCATTTGAACCGGAGAACACAGATTCTGATCCTCGTATACGCTTTGAGGGATACGTTGTAGAAAGGAAATACGTACTACTATAGGGAGCTCTATGACCCTGGGCCAGAAAGTTACTTACAGGATCATTAAGCAAGCTACGAGCAGGAATGTCAGCAAGTTGTGGTGGATACAACAGATGATTGAGTTCCAATTTTTTGAACTCCACAGCAGGAATCTCAAAATTGTTAATTCCCAAGACATCAGAATTTTGCGCATCTGCAGAGGAGAATGCACCCAACTCCTCATTTTGTTTGTTCTGACTTACCAGGAAAGAAATATCTGGAGGGTAAATTGGCAAGCCTGCACGTTGTCGTCTTTTTATTCTGGTGTTCCAGTAGTTCTTTATCTCATTATCTGTGCGGCCAGGCAGCTGAAAGGGTAGAAAGGGCATAACAAAAGTTAATATTAATCATATACCACCGATTATCCAACAGAGAATTTGAAGATATCACACTCCTACTTAATAAATTATACTCCAGCCTAACATTATTTCTCTTTAATTGTTATTGCGATAAGAGTTCAATTATGGTATTTATACAGAAGCGGGTCTCAATGTGGAAATGATAGGTTAGTGTTTTAAAGAATTTAAACCTTTTCTAGTCCATAATAGACTATTGAAGTACTATGAGCTGTGGGAGAACATAAAGTAGAAGTTGGACAGCAAATCCGGGACCACACAAGTGTTGAGACAGATTCTTACAAAGTCATGAGACCTTTTTTAAAATGAAAAGTACTAAAAGAAGTATAACTGTATAAGTTCTACAAAGAACAAAAACACTATTCATTAGCATAATCACGTGTATCAAAATGATGGAAGAATGTAACTCGGACTATTTCAAGTGACAGCAGATAGTATTAGAGAAAATCGTCTTGGGAGAAAGGGGCTCCGACAATGTGGCGTTCATTATTTGTAACTTCAGTTCTCACCTTTTAACCAGGCAAACATTTTTGTCTAATTTTCATATCCTGGTCAAGGGACAATGACCAAGTGTATAATAAATGTACATACAAATCTGTTAATGTAAAGTGACAACTTTTGTGAAGGGGGACTACACTTGTGGTAGTATACCTGATGGATATATAGAAGTAAATTTACCATTCTCAAAAAAAATAAAATCTGTTAATGTAGATGAGACTTGACGATGCAATAACCTCATTGAGCCAGAAACCTTTTACATCTTGGATTCTGGCAACTGTTACGGTGGTATATGAATCTCTAAATCCATGCCATATCTCTTCTGATCAAGGCATAATTAGGTGCATTTTGGACACCCCTTAGTGTCGAACATAGAGCAAAACAAATGCAGCAAGATACTCCAGAGAACGAAACTTCAATAGTTAATAACAAGTTCTATTTAAAGAGATATAGAAAAACCATTTGCCAACAAAAGCCTGATTGGCAAAGCTATGCTGGTACGGCCATAAACTGTTCACATGATCAACCCCTAATGCAATGCCCATCTGAGTAGATGTAATATTTTGGATTTCTAAGGCTCAGAACCCCTGTGTCCCGATCTGGTAGTCCTATTATGCTTCTATGAATTATCAAAACAATCTTCATTAAGATTTTAAGTACATGTTTTCATCATTTTGAAATAAGAAATTTGCATCTCGTAGTAATTCTTATATTTCTAAATATTCAAGTCTCATTTTCACAAGATAGATTAATCTGAGTCCACTTCAGTTCTGAAAATGAGTCCAATCGACATACGTAAGAGAAACAAGTCTATCAGTAAGGGAATTCATTTCATACCCTGACCAGGATTTAAAGAAAATGTAGCTCTAGTTACATAGCAAATTAAATGGATGGCCAACTGTTATCAATAAACAGGATGGGTTTGATTACACAACATGAAGTGTCAACAAGAACTACGGATAACTTTATGCGAGAGCTATGGGTAGGAAGTGAGGGCTTTCTCTTATTCTGATTTCTGGAGTTAAAGTGCCATCTGAGCGCTTTCTGTTTAAAGACACTCCTCCTGGCACTAGAGAACCTATTGACATGACTGATGCTATTGATGACTACCAATACTAGCTCAGTTGCTAGTTCTTTGATAAGTAATTGGGCAGGCCGATGTCCAGTCCAACAAGAGGAGCCATCAGGACTGGTTTTAGGAAGTGCTCTTAGTGAGGATCTTACTGTTTTTTTCCCGTAGTACATTGTAGTATCATTGAGGATTACAACAACATACCCAGCGAAATCTCACTAAATGGGGTCTGGGGAGGTAGAGTGTACGCAGACCATACCACTATCTCGTGGAGGTAGAGAGGCTGTTTCCGAAAGTCCCTCAGCTGTATGTACATTGAGGATTACTTATTATAATTTAACACGATAACACAAAAGTTGTCAACAAATATAGAATTTGGGATAGCATGATTACAAGCAGGGGGATACCGGAAAGAAAAACTAAATCTGATTCAAAAAGATTGAACAGATCAAGATCCCCTGACACACAACTGGAAATTTGAAGGATAGCAAAGACTCATAATTAGACGACATACTGATCAAAATAATACTCTTTCTGTCCCAATTTATGTCAGACCCTTTTCTTTTTAGTTTGTCCCAAAATGAACGTCACTTTTCTATAATTTTTTTGAAATAGGTAACTGGCTTTAAAATTCCCCTTTTACCCTTAATAAAATGATTTATAGCCACACATTTAAGATTTATTTTAGACCACGAATTTCTAAAGTCTTCCTTTCTTAAACTTTTTGCCAAGCCAAACAGTGCCACATAAATTAAGATGGAGGGAGCACTAATTACTTATTCAAAATTTAAGTATTACTCCCTCCATGTCATTTTACCTGATGTTGTTTGACTGAACACAAAGTTTAAGAAAGAAAGACTTTTGAAACTTGAGGAAATTAAGGCATGAAACAAGCCATAGACATCTCTGTAGTACTAAATCATCTCATGAGGGTAAAATAGGAAGTTTAAAGTTAGATTGTTTCTAAATATATAAATATGTCATTCTTTTTGGGATAGACTAAAAAGAAAAGCATACCACAGAAAATCTGATAAAGGGAGTAATAAAAAGAGTACTTATCAAGGACTACAAGACATTGTCCGGAAGGAATGATGATATGGATTCTGTCCACAGTAATGGCAGAAACCTCGAATTTATCGGGGGTAGGAAATCCAACTTAAATAGGAATTAATATGAAGTAAAAACATAAATGAAGGATGCCAGTTAAAGACATTTTATTTGAAGATTTTATGAAAAGATAGAGAGATAGTATGAACCTCAACAGCCATTCGTGCCCATTTATTTCCCATTTTAGCATGCAGTTCAACTATCCGCTGCTCTTCCTCGGGGGTGAATGCACCTTTCTTTAAATCTGGTCTCAGGTGATTTGCCCACCGCAAACGGCAACTTTTACCACAACGAGCAAGTCCTGAATGCCTCTGCACAGCATTCCAGTTCCCCTCACCATGTGTCATGACATAATCCACTAAAATCACATCTTCCGCAGAAGTCCAGGGACCTTTTTTAAGTGGTACACTTTCTCCTAAATCTCCACCGCTAGCTTCATCTGGTGAATCCATGTCAACTTTGGATGTCATCCTTTCCTCGGTTTCACTTGTCATGCTCATATCCTAAAAATGTTTAATAAATAAAAAAAATAGCATGTAATTGCCAATAGAAGGAGATGAAATTGTTTGTTATAAAGTCGAGGCAAAAATAAAGGCGATATGTTCCAAGCGAGTGACCTCGTGCATGACGAAGCCAGTCGAGCTTAATATCAGAAACTGCCAAAAAAAGAAACTTGGGATAAGTTAAGGATTTTATTCAAGTAACAGCACTACAAAAGGGCTGAACCCACAGAATTTAGAAACGATAGATATAAACCACCAACTTCAGAAAGCAAGTTCACCTAGATTCACACAGAATAACATAAAAGATAAAACGATAAATGATGAAAAGGAATAACTTATTCAGAATTCCCCGATACATAATTCAGGGCATCAAACTTCTAAAAACTCACCAGACCCACCTAATCTCATTAACTACGAAATAATACGACACAATAAGTTATTTGGGGTAAAATGAAATGAAACAGAAGAAGTAAAAGTGTTTATATTATGAAGTCCACAAAGAAATTCACTGAGCTCAATCCTAGGTAATAACTTTATGATTTGATCAAAACAAATAAACATATACGTCATATTTGTCGAATAAAACAAAGAAGCTGCTAACTTCTGAAAACAAATAAATAAAAGAAGATGACGATAATATTGATCAATCATTTAGCTTCAAAATCAGCATATCACGAACTCAACAATTTAGCTGCAAAGGAAATCAATTTCTTTGGGGAACTTTTTCCACCAATAGGCTCTTGTTGGTTTCACTATGAAAATTCCGATTAAAATAACATAAGGACAAATGCACAAAATGTCCTGTTAATTGTATGCACAGCATAACCTCACACTAAAAAAGTTAAAATACCTACACTCTTTTATTACATCATGGACTGGGGAAGGGGAAGTTGAAGTGGAAGCGGAAGCGGAAGCTATGCTACTGATGAACCCTCTACCTCCACTATGGAAGGCAAGACCCTCAACCACGTCAAAATACTTAGCTCATGTTTGACCACGATTTTGACGTTGAAACTTGAAAATTCAATGTTTGAAATTGTGATTTTGACACTTGAAGTTGTGTTTGGACATGCATTTTACTAGGAAAAAATTGAAGTTTTACAAGTGGAAGTGAAATTTTTCCCAAAATTTGGACTGTGAACTTGAAAATATTTTGAAGATAATTTTTCAAAATCTAATCAAATTTCATGGCCAAATAGATATTTGAAGATAAATTTTCAAAATCTATGACCAACGCTAGCTTACTCACACTTGGACTCCTAGTTGAAAATTTACAGACTTCACTAACACCAATAAAAACCCACTCACACCTAGCCCCACCCACTCCAAACCCCAAAAGCAATTTAACACGCAATAAAATCAGAAAATCGAGAATCTATCGAAACAATCTCTCTACCTTCACAAGTGATCCCAAAGAATGATCTCTCTTTTCGTTGTTGGGTAAAACTTCATACACACCACTCTACCTTGATTCCAAAGAATCGATCTTTCTTTTCATTGTTGGGCAAGACTGCATACACACCACCCTCCCAAGACCCCACTGATGAGATTACAGTGGTATATCCTCTTCCTTGTTGTCAAAATGAAAATGAACTCCTAAAATTTACAGACTTCACTCACACCAATTAAAACCCATTCACACCTCCCCTACCCCCACCACCCACCGAAACAATACATACAAAAATGCTTAGACAAATAAAGGCCTAATAAAACCAGGAAACATAACAAGCTCAAACTAAAAATTCATCACAAAATCAACATTTAATCATACCTGAATTAAGAAAGCTAGTGAAGCAGTCCAACAGAGTCTTGGAGCTAGTGACCACTTATCAGTCCCTTCACAAAAAATTAACAGAATTCAACACAGAAAAAACTGAAATTAAGCTTAAAAACCAATATACAAGAATCCCTTTTAAAAAATGAACTCAAAAAACCCAAAATGTGAATTATACAAAACCCAAGACTCAAACTTTTTCAAGACCCATTAAACAAAACTGAAAGATGAAATGGTAATGCAAAACCCCAAACTTTAAAAATGAGTAAATGAACAAAAGTAAGAATCTTTTTGAGCAAAAACACCCAATTGTTGTTTGGTGAAGAAAAGAAATCAAGATCCACTTATTAATGAAAACAAAAAGAGTTTGAGAAAAGAGAAACACAACAAGAGATAGCTAAGGTGTCAGCAGCTTAAGGAATTTCAAATAAAGAAGCCAAAAGGGATAAAAAAAAAAATACAAAAAAGAGAGAGAAAGAAAGAGGTTTTACATTGCAACAAGAAGAGTGAGAAAATATAGGAGAAAGATTAGGGATAGATAAACACCCACATTATTAAATTAAGGGGAAAAAAATCATTTGCTTTCTTTAATTTGAAGCTTTTACCACGTTTATTTATTTATTTTTATTTTTCTTCAAATATTCGATCTCTGCATTGGAGTCAAGACTAATTCAAATTCAGGTTAGACAGGCCCATAGGGGTCATTTTTTTTCCATAGGATATTCGGTAATTGCATTAGAGCAAAGACTAATTCAAACATTAGATAGGGCCTAGGGGCCATTTAGTAGCCGATTAGAGTTATGTAGAGATTAGTAATGAGTGAATTTATGTATTATTTTATACATGCTTAGTTATGCATGAATTAATTATTAGTATTCCACTGTCTATCATTGCATAAAATAATACATATAATTCCTCCTAACTTATTTTGTATTAGTTATATGCGGGTTTCTAAATTGTCAACTAAACGTCGTATTAATTTTATACATAATAACTTATTTTTTATTTACCTAGAAAATGACGTATGACTTATACGAAAAATAATATATGAATAACTTGTTTCTCATCAAACGACCTCTAAGTGACTTTGGTCGGGAAAAGGAAATAAGGTAAAATTCTTTACTAAAGATTTTTTCAAATTCAAAGCTTAAAAACAAAATTTTTAATTAAAGAAAAAATAATTTTATTCACGATACCACATTCTTTGATGATACCTTTTATTTTCTCTCTATCTTTTCACCATTTTTTCTTCTTTCTTAAAAAAAATAAATATATATGTAGCAAAGGAAATCTTGGATTACTTTGCAAATAAAAAACAAAGAAAAATAGAGGAGTTTTTAACATGTGGGGTTGTATAAATAAAGAATTATTTACTCTGTTGGTTTCAAAGTCATGTGACTTATTAATTCCTTTTTTATACTCCCAATTAATACTCAAATCATAAGCGAGTATATATTATATATTTATTAGAAATAAATGATAGAAATCCCCATTCTATCTAACTAGATATAGAAATAACTGGCATAAAATAGAAATATGTTCTTTAACTTAATTTTATTTTAAATTTATGTTATTTAATTTTGGGGATGCACAAGTAGATATTTAAATTTGCATAAAGTTGAACAAACAGACACGTGAGTCCTACGTGACACAATACACATAGGACACCACGTTGGATTCAAATTGTCATATAAGATGTCATGTAGGATGCATGTGTCTCTCTGTTCAACTTTATATATATTTGCGTGTCTAAGTGTGCACGCCCAAGATTAAATGACATAAATGTGATTGACACAATACATAAATATGCCCTCTAACTTGACTTCAGTTTTTATATATGCTCTCCAACTTTGGGTGTGCACAAGTAGACACTTAATTTTGTATAAAATTGAACAAGTAGACATACACGTCCTACGTGGCATAATACACGTAACTGTAGGACACAAAATTGTTATGGAATGGAAGAAACTAGAAAGATAAATTAAAGAGAGAATAAATAATAACTCTTTGTATTGATTCTTGCATTGATTCAAATAGAAGAGTACATCCCTATTTATAAATAATTAAGGAGAATCCTTCTTAAAGGAGAGTCCTTCTTAAAGGAGAATCATTCTTAAAGGACAATCCTTCTTAAAGGAGAATCCTTCTAGATACTAGACTAAAATAAAACTAAATATTTTGCAATTAATGTAAACCCTAGACTTGAAAGGAAACTAAATACTATAAAATATTTTTAGACTAAAATAAAATAAAATAAAAAGATTCTTCCAAATTCCAACATTCCCCCTCAAACTCAAGTTGGTGTATTTGACTTGAGTTTGAACACTTAATTATTCTTCAAAAATATCTTCTAATAAAATTCATCCTCACATTCTTCTTCTACTAGTAATGCTTGTGATTTATCTTGAGTGTCTTTGAACTTGCACACTTTTGTAACATGACCTGTTTGTTTGCAACTTCCGCATACTGCATCAGATCTCCACCAACAGAATTTTTCCAAATGTGTTTTCTTTTTGCAATATTTGCAAGGAGGATAATCAACTTTTCTTTTTTGATAGTTTGCATAAAAGATACCTTCAACAATTTTATCTTGTCTGAAAGCTCTTCTTTGCTCTTGTGCTTGAAGAGCACTTATCAATTCAACAAGAGAGATGGTAGAGAGATCTTTAGACTCTTCCAAAGCAGAGATTTTAGACTCAAATCTTTCGGGAATAGTTACAAGAATCTTTTCAACTATTCTATTATCTTTAAAATCCTCACCAAGCAACCTGATTCTGTTGACAATCAAGGAAATCCTGTCAGAATAATTAGTGATAGTCTCACCCTCTTGCATCCTAAGAGATTCAAAATCTCTTTTCAAATTTAGAATTTGATTTTGTCTGCCTCGTTCACTTCCTCGGTACTCCTTCTCAAGTTTTTCCCAAGCTTCTTTTGCTGTCTCACATGCAATGATTTTAGAAAAGATTGAATCTGCAACTGAATTTTGAATTACAATTTTGGCTTTGTGTTTTTTGATTTTCTCTTCTGAGTGAAGTTTGATTTCAGCATCAGAAGATTTTTCAGTGAGTTGTTGTATGGGTTTGTCTTCCATTACAACTTCCCACAAATCATAAGCCTCAAGATAAGACTTCATCTTAACTGCCCAAATTTGATAATTTTCACCATTGAAGGTTTGTGGGGCATTGAAAGAAAGAGTATTGCTTGTCATGGTTTGAAAAATAAGGTTTAAAATAATATAAATTAAAAATTGGTTAAAAGTAGCCCTGCGTTAAAAATAAAAGCACGGGTTAAAATTGGCCCTGCGTTAAAAATTAAAGCACGGGTTAAAAGTGTGTTGAAAATAGATATGAATTAAAAGTTCTTCTTCAACGAACTCACAGATCCATTAAGATCAATGTAAGGCTCTGATACCACTGTTATGGAATGGAAGAAACTAGAAAGATAAATTAAAGAGAGAATAAATAATAACTCTTTGTATTGATTCTTGCATTGATTCAAATAGAAGAGTACATCCCTATTTATAAATAATTAAGGAGAATCCTTCTTAAATGAGAGTCCTTCTTAAAGGAGAATCATTCTTAAAGGACAATCCTTCTTAAAGGAGAATCCTTCTAGATACTAGACTAAAATAAAACTAAATATTTTGCAATTAATGTAAACCCTAGACTTGAAAGGAAACTAAATACTATAAAATATTTTTAGACTAAAATAAAATAAAATAAAAAGATTCTTCCAAATTCCAACAAAAATTTGTCATATGGGATGTCACATAAGACAAATGTGTTTATTTGTTCAATTTTATACAAGTTTAAGTGTCTACCTATGCACACCCAAAGTTGGAGAATATAAATATCAACTAAAGCCAAATTGAATGACACATTTATGTATTATACCAATATGAATTAAGACCAAATTAAATTTTTTTTTTATATATATTATGTCAAATAATTATCCTAGCTAAAGCATGCACAAATAAGTTAACTACAGAAATGTACACTAATTGTAAAACCAATTACAAGAAAGTAAATATATGTCATAAGGTACAAGAAAAAAATAAAGTTAAAATGTTTTTTGATATAAAATATATCATTTTAAAAAATAAATTTTAAAAATAATACCCCCATCAAACGAAACAAATAAGTTATCCACTTATGTATGGGGTTGATCATTAAGAAATGATATAATTAATTAACTAAAGAATTAGGAAGAAATTTATGGAGTCCACATAACACAACAAAGAGAGCTTGATAATAAGATAGAGAGGGAAATTTGGCATTACACTATAAAAAAGTTTCCCCTTGTTAACCTAATTATTGCTTATTATTTCTAGTCCTTCCCCTCCTATTTGTTTATCTTTTATCTTAATTTTATTGGGCATGATAAAAGATTTTTTTTTATTATTGTAATCTTAAATAATAACAATAATATATTAATTATGATTACGTAAAGTAGGGTTTGAACATAGATAGAATGTATATAAATTTTACTCTTATTTTATAGATAGAGAGGTCGTTTCTAATAGATCCCGATTTAAGAAAAAATGACCAAAATATTTCAAAAAAAGAAATAACCGAAATACAAGAAACAACAAATAGTAATAGAACAGTAACTATAACAAAGTAATATGGTTATCAAAGCGCAAGTAAATAAAAATAATAATACAAATCAAAGGATAAGAAATTGTTGAAGCAATATTATTAGTAGTATGGACGAACAACGAGATAATGCATTGCTACCTGCTTCCCTAATCTGCGTCTTCCAGAACCTCCTATCTAAAGTCATATCCACAGTAAGTTGAATCATTTCATGTTATGTCTAATCACTTCTACCCATTACTTCTTGGGTCTACCTCTACCTCTCGTAAAACTGCTCATTGCCAACCTCTCACACATATACACTAGGGCATTTAGACATCTCCTCTTCACATGTTCCGAACCATCTCACTCTCACTTTCCGGTTCTTGTCTTCCACCAAAGTTACTCCTACGTTGTCCCGAATATACTAATTTCTTAAACCAAGTACATATTTAGCCATTAATTTCAAATAATTTAAATTATAGTTGAAATTTATGAAATTGAAATTCAAAATGAAATTAAAGATGAAGTTGTGTTTAACTATATTTTTGGCAAAGGAGAGAAGACAACATTTTATTTGAAATTATGAAAATAAAGCTGGAAGTATATTAGTATATGTTGTTTTCCTAATTTGGAATTCAACGTAAAGTTAAATTTGAAATTTCATGATCAAACACTGATTCTTAAGCAAAATGAAAAAATATTCTGAAAAAAGCGGGTCCTAAAGATATTTATAATGAACAAAGTTGTCACATGAAGTGTCGAAATTAAAAAATTATTAAATTAAAAAAAGATGCATTTCTTTTTTAAATAAATTAAAAAAGAAAATTAGATAAGCAAATTAAAATTGGAGGAATACTATTAAAGAATAAAAATTAGCCAATTAAAAGTTTCTAAAATATATATCACCACCCACCATGATATTAATTTGTATGAGACAAAACATGCATTTCTACCTCAAAAAAACTCATCTATCAAGTAAAAAATTTACTATTCTTTTAATCATATCAAACATCGTTTATTTTTAAATTTTAATTAAAAAAAAATAAAAACAGCACTTATAATATGAAAATAGGAGGAAGTACCATATAAGGAATTTGAGTTAATTTTTAAAACGCTTTTCTTTAATAATTTCATAGTCTCTCACCCACGCCCACCCCCACCCCAAATAAGATGAAACATAGCCAGAGAATAATTTAAAAGTACAACTTAAGTCAGTGACATTAATTAGTACTATTTATGATAGATTGTACTGCCTAATATTCTCCCAAGTCTTTAATGCAAACAAGGGATTTGTACTCTCTGAATTTTCTATATAGAAAAATTAATCTAAATAGTTGTTTACCAAATTAATTATTTTAATAATAATCGATGATATGTGTATAATTTATTTGGCTACTTATGTAAAGATTTTTTTTATTTTCAATATAATAAATTCTTTTTTTATGCAAAGAAATTATTAAGATAAAATTAATTAGGTGAAAGTACTCAATTCTTATCTAAAATATAATGTTTCACAATCTTACATCATTTTGAAAGTATCAATAAAAATCTAACTATGAAATATCTCTAGTTATATATGCATTTGATTGGAGTATATAATTCATACATAAAAAAAAGAGAGAGGAGGTTTTCTAAGAAATTAAGACAATAAAGCGAAAAAGAATGAATGGGAGACATCGATGAAATAATCGATAAATCTGTTACTTGTATTTGATAATTAATCGATTTACGAATTGATAGGAGATTTTAATCATAAATAAATTATTTGTCTCGATTGATGAAAAAGACATTTTTCATACATTTATTTATTTTTCAGTAACATTCTTATATTTCTAAGAGACCTTTTAATATAAAAGATTATATAAATATTATTACCGAATAGCTGTGATTATGAATTTATCAACTCTATTATGAGATTAGTTATTTTTCTTAATGATATATTGTTATTTACCATTTCAAATATTGTCATGGATAATAAGGAAGAAATTAATGACCCATTCAAATAATGAAACTTCCCTTTTTATTAGAAAAAACACATGAGAAAAAGAAAGGTTTTCTTGAACATTTCTATACATATCCTTTTATATATATTGGAAGATGTTTGGTATATGTGAATTCAAATATTTCATTTCACATATACCTAATTTTATCCAAATAAGAGCAAACAAACATAAAAGTTCAAGAATGAAATGTCTTTTGTTTTAACTTTAGTTGAAAACCATGTGAAGGATATGTATACTATATTTTAGAGTATATTTTTTATTTACTTAACTCTTTGTGTTATTTATAGGGAAAAGGCATAATAAGTATCTCCTTTAACTATATACCTTAATATACCCTTCTAAACTATTAAAAGAGGGGGTATTACCCTTCTAAACTATTCTAAATAAAAGGGTCAAAAATATTTTTAAATGATGCGAAATGAATAAAGATATCTTTAGTGAATGATTTAATCCATAAATATTTTTATTGTCAATAGTTTGGTCCATAAATGTTTTAATTATTGTTACTTAATGGGTCAAAATTTAATTTTTCAAATAATTATATTATTATTTTTTCTTTTAAACACATCCTTTTAATTTTCTAACGATGATTTTTTTAGTTAGAAATTTTATCTTACTTCAATTCGGTAAATATTAAGAAAGAAAAATTATTTTCTATTTTATTACATTTTTTTTAATCAATATCTAAATAAAAATTAATGACGGGATTACTATGAGGGCATAAAATAATTACTAGGGCATTTGGATAAAATAAATATTACTTTTAAAGAAGCACATTCTTGTTTCTTTCTTTTAAAATTACTTTAACTAATAAATAAGTAGAAAATGATATTTTTTTTCTTCTTCTTAATCTCATTTTAACAATTAAAATAGAATAAATCCATTTATCTTTTAAACTGATAATATAGATTATATATATAAGATCGTAGTCCGTCATAAATTTTTATTTAAACAGTAAGAAAAATAATTCACATAAAATAGAAATATTTTTATTTCTTATTTTTTTTTTCCGAATTGAGATAAGATAAACATTTTCTAATTTAAAAAAATCATTCTTTCAAGAAATTTTCATTTCTGAGTGAGGAGTCATAATTGATTGAAAAGAGGAATTTTGCAAATTTTAATACTAAAAAAAAACTACGCCAACTTAAGAGTTTTACCTAAATTAGGATTAGTAATGAATAAAAGACCCCAACTTTTCAATCCTTTTTAAATTAGAATTTTATTTTTAGGGTAGTATCTTCTATGGAGATTTTAAATCAAATTTTATGAGACTTATTTTATTTTTATTGGGTCACAAACTTTAGTGAATGCAAGAGAAACATGTTAAAATCTAGATTGTATAGCCTGAGTTTTTTAAGAATTGGGTAATATACTCAAATTGATTTATATTATATATGCTATGTAGAACGTGTGTGTCTACTTATTCTATTTTATACAACTTTAACATCTTATTTGGATGGTTGTTACATGGTGTATTGTTAGTCTAAATACAATGTTTATTTTGATTGTTACGTAAATTCTATTATATTGTATTGTTCATCGTTAGGTAACGACGAAAAGACACATTTTGTGCAATGATTGATTTGGTGTGGTCGCATCGTTATGTTAATATTTTCTTCTCATTT